TTTTCTATAGAAAACTTTGAACGAGGGAAAGCTCTTTGATAGAAAGCTTTAATTAACAAAAAATTTTCTTTCGAAAACTCAAGCAAGTGAAAGATTTTCTATAACAAACCTTGAACAAGCGAAAGCTTTTCTATATAAAAATTTAATAAGGGGTAGTTTTCTATAGAAAACTTTAAACAGCGAAAGATTTTCTAAAAAAACTTTGAACAAGGTAAAGCCTTTCTATAGGAAACTTGAAACAAGTGAACTTTTCTAGAGAAAACTTTGAATAAGCGAAAGCTTTTCTATAGAATTCATTGAATAAGCGAAAGCTTTTCTATAGAATTCATTGAACAAGCGAAAACTTTTCAATAGAAAACTTGGGACAAGAGAACGATTTTCTGTAGAAAACTTTTACAAGCGAAAGATTTTCTTTAGAAAACTTTAACCAGCGAAAGCTTTTCTATAGAAGACTTTGAACAAGAGGAAGATTTTCGATGGAAAACTTTGAAAAACATGAAAGAGATTTTCGATAGAAAACTTTGCGAATGAGCGAAAACTTTTCGATGTTTCTGAAAACTTTGAACAAGCGAAAGCTTTATAGACAATTTTAGCAACTAAATCTGTAACAAGCTTATAAATAAACCTGTTTTATTGATACGTATTCTGTGCAGCAAGTTCTAAGGTGTGTCAAAGATGGCAATTTCCTGTGTCATAGTTGTGAGGTTTTTAATTAAGAATGTCCGGATTATGGCTTTTATTAAATTCTTTATTCATATCAAATTTTCCTATCGTGATTCGTAATATGCTTGATATAACACATTCTTTTGAAGCTTTATATACAATATCGAAGCATCATTCATAATGCAATCTTATCTAAATTGAATTGAAACCAACTTAAATTAAAATTATTCTACATTAAAACATTATTAATTAGATATTTTATAAAAATAATTATTAATCTTTGTAAACATCTTAAATCAAAGTTTATGCTATTGAATGTAAACAAATAACTCTCTCTATATATATAAAACCATGATTGTTAATAGTTCTATTATTTACTTTCCTATTTTTTTTACTATATTTATAGCTATTTAACTAAACCCTAGATTTTACTCTTTAATTTTTTTTATTATTTTTTGTTTAAGTTTAAAAAAAATGTTTGGCCTAAGGTCAACAATTAAACAACACAAAAAGTGAAGTTCAGAAAAAGAAAAACATAGAATTTGCGCAAAACAAAGAACATTTTTATAAAAATGAATAATAAAACAACCCAAGGTTGTTTTTTTTTTTAACAAACAAGCGAACGTTAAAATAATAAAAGAAAATATATGTATTTATATATAATTTTCAAAAATTAAGTGAAAAGAAAAAGCAAAAAAAAAAAAAATAAAATCTACGAAAATAGTGTTTTTCTTTATGTTTAAAAATTATTCAAAATATTACATACATACATATAATATATTAATAATAAAAATAAAATTAAGAATTTTATATAAAACAAAAACAGAAAAATAAATACTTACATACAAATAAATTGAAAAAAATAAATATTTTTTAAGCGTAAAGAAATAGAAAATCAACATAAATAACTTAATTATTATTATTATTAACTACTAAAAAATTATGAAATGAAAAAGAAAAAACAAAATAAAGAAAATATTTTAAAAAATGTTTAATATTAGGCTAAAAAACAAACTCCTCCTCTCCTTAAACTAAAACTAAAAAAAAAAAAAAAATACTTTCTAAATGTAATAAAAAAAAAAAACAAAAAAGAAACTAAATTTACATTACAATTACAAATAAATTATTACTCTTTAACTCTGCACCCATTTTCATACATTAAAATTGAAAAAGAAAAATAATTAAAAAAAAATAACACACATCTCTTGCAACAAACAATAAACATGAAATACTTTCTTTGTAGTTAAAAATTAATACGGAAATTATAACGAATTCTATTAAAGTGAGAAGAAAAAAATAAAATAAATAAAACAAAAATCATATTACTACTTAAATGCTTTCAGAAAACATTTAAGCAGTTTATAAACTGACAAGTAAGAAAGGATGAAAAATAAGATGCTATTGTTTAAAACATTTTTAATTAATTGTTTTTTGTTTGTTTGTTTTTTTTTAATTTTTATTTAAATAAATTATAAAAAAAATTCATTTAAATACATATTCATTACGTAACCTAAAGGAAAATGATAATTTTTAAGAGAATTATCATGGTTTGTTCATTTTTATGAAAGCATGTTTTTTTTAGATAAAAACATTTAAATTAGTTTTTAGATACTTTTTTTTATTAAAATTATGATTTACTTTTTTTTTTTAAATATTTATAAGAGTAAATTGAATGCATAATTATCACATTATTTACATTTATATTTTTTAATAAATTAATTTTGAATATACATATATAAAACAAAATATATTAACAAGTTGGTTTTAATAAAAATGCTGTCTCTGGATTAAATTCTGATCGAAAGTAGGTTTTTTAAAATTTATTAATTTTCCAAATGATCAAACGATTATTTCGTTATTTATTACCACAATTAAGTCATTTATTATAATTTTTTGAAATTTTATTGTCGTATAGAAATAGTATCAACATCAGGGTGATAGTAGTAATTTATCCACCACGTCCAGCGGAGACTAATGTACACATGAGGAGAATCCGGACTGAGCAGCCAGAATTTCAAGCGCCTGTGGCTATCAACGTCTTTGTATATGCCATGGCTATGGCATTTTTGAAAAAAATTTAGATTTTTAGTAGTTAGATTTAAAGGAGGATGTATATATATATCAAATCTGAAGAAATACACCTAGGCTTCTATAGAGACTATTGTGCTTTCCTTTACCAGTGCCTCAGGTGCGAATAGAACCTACCAACTCCGGTTTACCAGACTAAAACACTAACCAACAACTTACTGGAGGCCAGATTTTTAGTAAAAATTTTGAATTTTTAGTGAACATTTTGAATTATTAGTGAAAATTTGATTTTTTTGTAAAATTTTAATTTTTTTTTTTTTTTGTAAAAATTTTAATTTTTAGTGGAAAAATTTAATTTTTAGTGGAAAAATTTAATTTTTAAGGAACAGGGGGGGTTTTTAGTAAAAATTGGAATTTGTAGTGAAAATTTGAATTTTATTGAATTGTTTACTGAAAATTTGTATTGTAGTGAAAATTTACATTTTTAGTAAAAATTTACAGTTTTAGTGAAAATTGTAATTTTAGTGAAAATTTGATTTTTTTAGAATTTAGAATTTTTTAGTGAAAAATTGAATTTTTAGTAAAACAATCAAATAATAAGGAATTTCAATTCTTATACTCCGCTGACTGTCAAAAACTTGAAGTACTCAAGTGAAGAATGAAAATATTTTGGAAATAATTCTGTCAGGTTCGTCATGAAATTTCTCAAAGAGTGTCACAATGTCCATGAGTTAGTTAGTTAGTTAGTTAGTTAGTTAGTTAGTTAGTTAGTTAGTTAGTTAGTTAGTTAGTTAGTTAGTTAGTTAGTTAGTTAGTTAGTTAGTTAGTTAGTTAGTTAGTTAGTTAGTTAGTTAGTTAGTTAGTTAGTTAGTTAGTTAGTTAGTTAGTTAGTTAGTTAGTTAGTTAGTTAGTTAGTTAGTTAGTTAGTTAGTTAGTTAGTTAGTTAGTTAGTTAGTTAGTAGTTAGTTAGTTAGTTAGTTAGTTAGTTAGTTAGTTAGTTAGTTAGTTAGTTAGTTAGTTAGTTAGTTAGTTAGTTAGTTAGTTAGTTAGTTAGTTAGTTAGTTAGTTAGTTAGTTAGTTAGTTAGTTAGTTAGTTAGTTAGTTAGTAGTTAGTTAGTTAGTTAGTTAGTTAGTTAGTTAGTTAGTTAGTTAGTTAGTTAGTTAGTTAGTTAGTTAGTTAGTTAGTTAGTTAGTTAGTTAGTTAGTTAGTTAGTTAGTTAGTTAGTTAGTTAGTTAGTTAGTTAGTTAGTTAGTTAGTTAGTTAGTTAGTTAGTTAGTTAGTTAGTTAGGATTCAAACAACTATAGAGAATACTTTGTTTCTGGAATTCAAAACACAACATGCATCGAAGATAGAAGCAATTTTATCTGATAAAAGATTGCCTTCTCTCTTTAAGAGTTCTTATTTCAATCCATTTTGAAGAAAATTTAATTTGTGATATTTAAACATTCATCCCTATTCAGCATTTCAATTCGAATCGAAATTTTCTCCGTTTGGCAACTTTGGTATTCTGCATTTCGATTCGACTCTCCGCCACAAAAACAACAACTTACAATAACGGCCTTATTCTTAATAAAATGAATGGTTTTCCTATTCATATCCACAACCATTTCAGTATTCGCTTAAATTTTACTCAAACATTTGACAAAACCCCCCATTTATTTAGTCTAATCAAAAAACGAATCATTTTAACATATGGAACTCCAAACATCTGTTGATTATACATTCAACATAAAACCCTAAAGTTTAACATCCTTTTCCCTTTAAAGGTATCGAAAAATGAATATTTATTTATTGTCCTGCGCATTTCATTTTTTCACACACTAAGGCAAATTCTTAGAATACACATCATTTTCATTCAGCTGATTAATTGAAAAGGATTTCATATATCAACTATATAAAAAAAATGCCTTGCAAAGGATGTGAAAAAGGTGGAATTTTAAAAACTTTTTATTATTTTTAACAATTAGAAGAAAATCGAATAATTAAATTTCATTATTCTAGATTGCAAATGCACCACAACTAAATGTGATGAACGCTGCAAGTGTGCTCAGGGCAACAAATGTAATTGTATGTCGGGACAAAAGGATGCAGAAGAAAGTGGAAAATCCTGCTGCAGCAAACAAACTAAAAGTGAATGAAATGTTTTACTAAAGTAAAGTGTATGGATTTGGAATTATTGAATGTATTTATGAAGAATGTTTTTGTTTTAAAATAAAGATTGATTTACACTTTTGAAAGAAAACATTTTTTTAATTTTATCACACTTTTTTCGAATGAAAAAAAACAAATACTTTTTTTTTTATTTAATTTTTTTATCTTTATTAAATTTTTATTTTCTTTTTATTACTATTATAATTCAATTAAAACAAATTTTAAATTCATCCATTGCATCAGTTACTGTTGCATTTTACTTCTATTTTTCTTTCGACTGCTTTTTTTTGTTTCTTTTGTTTTTCTTACGGAAAATTTTATCATACCTTAACCATGAGAGGATATGTATAAAAAAAATGATTTATATATATAAAAAAGTAATAATTATTAAATTAACAGAAGAAATAAACAATAAAAAATTATACAAAATAAAATTCATATTTAAAAAAAAAAAAAACAAATTAAAATATATAATATACTTAATGACACACTAAAAAAAATTTTAAAGCATAAGTGGTTACACAAAAAACAAAGACAACAAATATTAAAAAAAATTATAGCATAAAGTAACAAAATGGTAGGAAATGTTAGTGTTTGATAGGTGTTGTATTTTAAATAAAAAAATAATAAAAGTATTTGATTAGAAAAACCCCCGTTATAAGTAATTTTTGTGAGACTTATTTAATTGTAACGATCCCTATTAACGCCTGCGCTTTAGCTGGTTTTTGTTTTTATTTATTTATGACTTTATTTTTTTTTAAGTTGGTTTTAAATTAATCATTATTATTATAATTACTATAGTTTAAGCATAATGTTTTTAAACTAGAGATATTTTAAATTTGTTGTAATTTCTGTATTTGTTTATTATTTAATTTAATATAAATTTACGTGGCTAAGATTTTTTTATTTCTGTTGGTTTAAAAAACAACATACAAGGAAAAAATTTTTGTTGGTAATCATAAAAAACACTAGGGAATAAAAAAACTTCTTTTTAGGGAATCTGAGGAGTTTTAGGAGGGAGAGAGGAGGCTTTAACATTTACTTAAGGACAATTGTGAAAAAAAAATTATTATTTTATTTATTTTGCCATATTCGAAGTTGAGTTGGAATTCTTCTTCGATTTTCTTTTTTTACGATTGGTAACATTGTTACCATTAGCATTGCCATTAGAAGTTGTTGTGGATGTTGCTGCTGCTGCTGCAGATGTTGTTGAAGCTTGCTTTTGTAAGATTTTTTGTTGTTTGGCTTCATTACAAGTGGCAGAAAATTTACTCCATATGGAAGCAAATAATGTAGTACTGGCAGCATTTAATGATGTGGTTTCTGTTGCTTGTGGTTTGTTTTTATGACCTAAATAGTTGTTATTCGTTGATGTTCCTGTTGTTGTTTGTTTACTATTATTAACTACCATTTTTTGTTGCTGTTGTTGTTTTGCCGCTGATGCTGTTGACGGCTCTTTATCATTTGTTGCCTTTGGCTTTTTATAGCCACTTGCATCATTTTGATTTTTTTGCATATTGGCGTATTCTCATGAACTTTTCAATTTGCCATTTAATGATGTGCGACTACCGCCACCAACTGCCGCCTCAGCAGCATGTGTGGCAACATGTTGTATGCCTTTTTCCATGCAGCCCTGATAAATCGGTTTCATGAACTATGAATGTAAAAGAAATTGTTTTTAAAATTGTTAATTTGCTGTAGAAATAAGATAACTTACGTTCTCCCACAGTAACGTCGCAAAATCATCTAGTTTAACACCAAAATCACTCAATTCACCGCTGTATCTGTAAGAGAATAACAATTTATTGGAATACTTTTAATAAACTTTTAGATTTTTAGTAAAATTTATTGTTGAACAAGGTTTTTAGTGGAAATTTTTGTAAAAACAATTTTTAGTGAACAATATTTAGTGAAAATTTTTGGTGAAAACAATTATCAGTGAACATTTTTGGTGAAACAATTTTTAGTGAAAATATTTGGTGAACACAAAATTCAGTGAATATTTTTGGTGAAAAGTATTTTCAGTGATAATTTTTGGTAAAAACAATTTTTAGTGAAAGTTTTTGGTGAAAAAAAATTTTTAGTGAAAATTTTTGTCGAAATCAATTTTCAATGAAAATTTTTGTCGAAATCAATTTTCAGTGAAAATTTTTGTCGAAATCAATTTTCAGTGAAAATTTTTGTCGAAATCAATTTTCAGTGAAAACTTTTGGTGAAAATAATTTCAGTGAAATTTTTCGTAAAAACAATTTTAAGCGAAAATTTTTGTTGAAAATAATTTTCAGCGAAAATTTTTGGTGAAAACATTTTCAGTGAAATTTTTGTTAAAATCAATTTTCAGTTAAACTTTTTGGTGAAAACTATTTTCAGTGAATATTTTTGTTGAAAATAATTTTCAGTGAAAATTTTTGGTGAAATAAATATTCAGTGAATTTTTTTTTGGAAAATTTTTGTGAAAATAATTTTTATTGAAAAATTTTAGTGAAAACAATTTTCAGTAAAAATTTCTGGGGAAAACAATTTTTAGTGAAACTTTATGGTGAAAACTATTTTCAGTGAAAATATATGGTGAAAACAATTTTCAGTGAACATTTTTGGTGAAATTAAATTTTTAGTGAAAATTTTTTGTGAAATTCAATGTTCAGTAAAATATTTGTTTAAAACAATTTTCAGTGAAAACTTTTCGTGAAATTAAGCTTTCAATGAAAATTTTTAATAAAACTCAAGTTTCATAAACAATTCCGTTTTACTAAAACTGAATTTTGAACGCTTAAACTTACCTAATATACGCCCACAAAGCTAAGGTCAGTAATGAAATGCCCATGATTAAATTACTGAAATTGGCAAAGGTATACATGCCCAACAGACCAAAGATGCCACTTAGAATGTAAAAGACAACAGCGAGGGCGAAGTAAACAGCTGGGGTACGTGCGGCTTTAAATATATTTTTACTTTCATTGTGCGCTTTATACGAAACAAAGATTTCCTCAAGATCAGAATCCAATTGTTGACGGAACTTTTCGGTGAACTCTTCACCGCCCATTTTACGTTTGGCCAGGAACTAAATTTTTAATATAATAATTAACATTACAATTTATTTAAATTCATATTGAAAAAAAAAGAAACTCACCTGAAATACAGCTTTGTCCTTAACTCTTAAGTGTTCAGCTTCCAAATGACCAGTGCTTAAGTACGGTCTAGTGCCACCGCAAACATCTTCCATCAATTGATTGTACAACTCTTTGGCATTTGCTACAGCAGTCAAATGATTAGCTTCTGCTGTGGCTACCAACATACTTTTAGGTTCGGGCAATTCATCACCCTTGTAAATTGTCATATACGATTGGAAGTATTGTATAAGATCTCGGGCCCTAATGCGTTGACCGCTGATTTCTTTGTATACCAAATTATCGGGCGACAAGAGCATGGGCACTAAAGTTCTTAAGCTTTGTTTGAATTCCGGTGTGATATCTTTGAGACGACCATCAAATTTGGGATTTGTTGCGACATTTAAACCGGGATGGGGCATAAGGAAACAGGCCACTTCTTGGAAACACGAGGAAATATGACGTCTAAGTGATTGCAATTCGGGATGTTGTTTATCCGATATTTCCAGGCGCTTTTTCAGTATTTGATCGCCACCCAAAGCGCCGTATTCAGCTTCGTAGGGAAAACTCCAATCACGCACTAGAAATTGTAAACGTTGGAAAGGTTTCTTGCCAGAGTCGGCTAAAGCCAAACGACCATATTCTGTGAACAATTGTAAATGTTGTAAATCATCCTCCTGGATGTTTTGTGACAAATTGTAGATTTGAACCGATGACAACATGGTGCTTAAAGCAAAAACTGTAGCACAATCACGTACAGTACTTTGGCTATCGAAGGCTCCCTGTGTATCCAAAAGAATAATGGCAATTTTGTCACCATTGGGATAGTCATGTAAAAATATATCCGACCACATAAGTATGCCAGTTGTATCACGTTCAGAACCGCCACGCCAAGAAAAACCCGTCAAAGGTGAATCTTCATCACCCAACCAATCGCTAACATCATGGCGTACATACTAGAAAGGTTAACAAAGGTAACATTAGATATTTTAAGTTAATCTATACGTATATAGCTTTACCTTTGAATACATATAACGCAGAAAAAAATCTAAGAGAAAACTTTTTCCTTTACGAAATGCTCCCGCTACTGATACCACACACACATAACGATCTTTGACTTCTTCACGCATCAGCACCTCACTTAAATTGTCTTCATTTAGTATGAATGTGTGTTCCTCCGATGTGGAGATTACTTGAACCGCCTCTCCCGGCATATTGAAATCTGTTTATTTATAGAGTAATATTGGCTTTAAATGACGGTGGTTTTGAGACACAATTTTTTATGGCTGTTGTGTGTGTGTGTTTTTTTTGTAAACAGGAAACGTGAATTTTTTTTTTAATCAAGGCCTTTTTCTGTAAGATAGAGAAAAAAAAATAATTTTTGCTATTAGGACTGGATAATTTTTATAATTAATACATTGTTTCTTTTACGACTACTTTATGAACTGAAAGTGTGCAATATTTTAATTTAATCACACACAAGGAAACGGTAAAAATGTTTATTTTTATTTAATTTTAACCGAAATAAATAGATTCTAACGCAATTCTCTAGACTATACAAGATGAATAATGAGAAGATTTTTTTGCATTAAAATGTTGACATAAATGTGTAATTATGCTATGCGAGATTATTTTTAGTTTATACACATTTTTTATTTATAAAAAAAAATTTGAAAAAAATATACCAAATTTTGAAAAGATACGTTTAAACCATTTCCCATTGATATTTAAAAGTAATAATTATTGTAGTAGAGCCATCAAAAAAACAAAAACATTTCAATAAATTAATATTTGAAATGGTGTAAAAAATATTGTTTGTTTAGGACTTATACACTCAAAATGTATTTTAGCGAGAGAATATATAACTAATTATTATAAAAAAATGTGTACTTAAAATTCTAAAAGATTTTCAATTATTAAATTAAAGAGAAATGCAAAGAAAAACAAATTCAGCATACATACATATTTGTGGAATTTGTTAAAAATAACTAAAAATTTGCTTTGTATACCGGATACTTGGCTTTCAATAGAATATTAGAAACATTCGTCTAAAAGTAAATAAAGCATTTTAAAATAGCTTTATATCGAAGACCCACTGCAAATTTCTACCATCAATTGATTATACAATTATTTTGTATTTGCTACAGCAGTATGTAAACTAATAAGCTTTTTCAGTAGCAATCAACATAATTTAAGGTTCGAGGGATCGGATGTGAACAAAACATCTTAAACTTTGTTTAATAATGGTGTGATATTTTCGGTATTATTAACGAATTTAAGCAAAAGTTTTCTAGAAAAAAACTTTTTGTAAAAAATTTAAAAAAAACTTTTACAAAATTTTGTTTTTGGTTTTTTACATAAACATTTTTAAAAAGAGCCTTTTTAACACATAAAGCTTTTATTAAACACTTTTTGCACATAAATTCTTTCGAATATAAAGCTTTTTAACGAAAGTCCTTTAATAAAAACTTCTGCCATATAATGCTGTTTAACAAAAGCTTCTAGCATAGAAAGCTTTTTAATAAAAACTTCTAGCATAGAAAGCTTTTTAATAAAAACTTCTAGCATAAAAAGCTTTTTATTGAAAAAGCTTTTAAAATAAAAAACTTTCTAATAAACCCCTTTTTAAACAGGTAGTTTTTATTGCCAGCTAGTTTACAAAGAGTTTATTTCCCATAGTTAAAAACTTTTTACAAGAAGCTTTTAACAAGAAGTTTTTTTACATGAAAATCTTTTGTATCTAATTTTTAAAAACAAATTTTTATTAAAAACTTTTTTCAGAAAGCTTTTTACTAAAAATTATTTTTACGTGAAAAGCTTTTTAAAATTATAATTTTGCATAGAAAGCTTTTCATATGCAAACACCTTTTTTAATTAATTTTACATGTAAAACTTTTTAATAATTTTTTTAAGTGACATCTTGTTTACAAAAGAAGAGAGAGATAGCTTTTATAAAAATTTATTTTACTTTTTACGTTATAAACTTTCTACATGAAGCTTTTATATGAAAAGCTTTTTTAAAATATAATTTTATATACATAGCTTTCCATAAAAAGTTTATTTTACATAAAAAGCTTTTATATTTTATTTTACCAATAGAACTCTTTGAAGGGAATCACAAAGGTGAATAACGTAAAATTTATTAGATTTTTCAAGAATTAATTTTAGAAAAGCTTTTTGTGAAAAATTTTTTTAAAGGAGCTTTAAGTGTATTTTTTTAGGAATGACTTTTTTAATGTCATATGTAAAAGTTTTTGTTAGAATTACTCTAAAAATCATTTACTAAAAGCTTTTATTTGATTTAAAACTTTTTTGACAATTAATTTTTATAGAAGATTATGTAATTGTTGGGAGAGCTTTTTGTATGTTTTTTTTTTTAATTTTCTTAAAAAGCTTTTTAGAATTACTCTAAAGCTTTTGCTAAAAGCTTTTATATGATTATTTAATGAATGAATGAAAATTTGGGACAATTTTCTTACAAATCTTTATTGCGAGAAGCTGTAATCGATGTAAGAGGTTGGAAGTAACCTAAACCAAAGAAGTAACAAATTTAACTATGTATTCCGTTCTTAATGTTTAAACCATGTATTTTTATGGCAATACCACTCAGCAGCAAAGTATTCTTTAAGTTATAAAGAATTCTTAAACAATTCCATGTGTGTTAATTTAATACCTGTTGCCTTGTTGCCTGCAGTCTTTTGTTACAAAATGCTAATTTTGTAAATATTTATACCCATTTGTTTATATAATAGCCTGTATATTAAAGTTTTTAATTTCAATTAAAATTATAAAAAACAATTTTTGAATGTTAGTATTTCCCAATAAAATCTGACTAATGCAAGAAACATATCTTTAATAACTTTTTGTTTAAATTATTTTTCTGTGTAACAGATAAAAACAAAGTAATGTTAAATATCTATAAGATACCAGTAGAATTCTATGAAAAAAGTGCAATGCTCTTTGTTCTCTTATTAAATAACTGGTTTTCGAAAAATGGAATTCGATTTAAGTATTTAACATATAGTTGTAGAAAACAAATCAGAAATGACAGAAAAAAGCCATGATTTAATATACAACTACGTGTGAAATAAATAACTATGTGTATTTTTATATTAATAAATATTACACCGCGTAAACAACTCAGAATAAAATACAATAAACAATTGAATTTAATTTTTGTGAAAATATTAAACACGTACGTGTTGTCTATGGCTGACATTTAAATGAAATTTTTTTATTAAAAAAAAACACTGCACAATAGATGAACAAATTTAATTAAGAAAAAATTATGTGTATTTTTTTAATGCACTAAAAAAATTACTCAAAATGTGGCCTTTGATGACGTTGACATTATTTCTTTTATAAAATGTGTTTTGTTTTTTAATTCAATATTATAATAATGAAAAAAAAAAACATGAGAATGAAAATAACAACAAAAATAGAAAGTCAAACTATAGCTTTGAAGATCAATAAAAAGATACTGTTAGCAAATACACACATTACTTTTTTCTTTTAATTTAAATTAATTGCACTGTAGGAGGTTTGGTTTTCATTAAGTATTTTTTTTTTTAATTAAAATTTCTCATTACTTTATTAAGAAAATAATGAAATTTATTTAAACTCACTGCACTACTACTTTTCATTGTTATTTTTTTTTTAATTTTTATAAATATTAATACGAGTATAACGAAATTTGTAACCCACCAATAAAGCTAGTCAATGAACAATGAAATTGGTATGTATAAAATTTGTGCTTTTGACTCGTGTGTGTTGATGATGTATAGTGGTGTTCACGTATGATGAATATACAGACAACAAATAGAGATACTCATATGGACGGACGAATGGATGTGGTATTGAGGAACAGACAGCTAGACACACCGACAAACAAATAAACGGACCTATAGATAGATGGTTGATCGAGTATTAAAATTAAATCTCAGCTAAAAGCTAAAACACACTCACTCTCAAACACACAAACATTGTATGAGAGAGAAAACAAAAGAAAACAAGTAAGAAATTATAGTCGGGCGTGGCCGACCATATGATACCCTACACCAGTTATGAATATTAAATGTGATTTATTTTTCATAATAAAGCATTTATCTTCAATATTCCCTTGTTCCGATACATTTAAGCAATTTATGGATGAAAAACTAATTTTCTGAAAGAGGCTTTATATGGGGGCTAGGGGCAAATATGGACCAAGCCCGATAAAATTTTGTGAATATATTTATATTGACATAATATTTTATTGTGCTGAATTTCATCGCGATATTTGTGTTTATAAGCTAATTTGGGACATTCAAGTAATTTTCTGAAGGGGACTTTGTATGGGAGCTAGGGTCAAATGAGGCCCGATCTTTATGAAATTTGGCAGGGTCATCAAGACTTCTATAATACTTAGGTGTGTCGCATTTTATCGATATATATGTATATTTAACATAATTATGAGCTCAGAAGCCCTTTTCGGGGGGTTCTGTTCTATGGGGGCTAGGTGAAATAATGGACCGATCTTAACCATTTTCAATAGGCCTTAGGTCAAATAAAACGTGCGTGCCAAATTTCATCCAATTATCTTGAAAATTGCGACCTGTACCTTGCGCACAAGGTTTACATGGACAGCCAGCCAGCCAGCCAGACGGACGGACATGGCTCAGAAAACGATTCTAAGCCGATTGGTATACTTTAAGGTGGGTCTAGGACGAATATTTTTGTATGTTACAAACATCAGCACAAATCCAATATACCCTCCCCACTAAAGTGGTGTAGGGTATAACAACAACTGAAATTGATAAATAAGAGTAATATTAATTTAAAGGTAAAAACCATGAAAATTGTTACAAAAAATTATTCATATACAATAGAGTATATAACATATTACTTATATTACGCGTAAAAAAAAGATGTGATCATAGGTGGAGACTTTTGTGAGCAATCTGTATGATGAGGCCTTTGTTTCGTTTTTTTAAAGACCGGTATTATAATTGAGAGTTTTAAACAAAAGTGAGAGTGTTTATTTACTAGATGCAAAAAATCATTTTGTTTTTAAATACTGATCTCATAATAATAAAAGGAAATTATACAAATGATTCAGTAAAAAAAATGTTTAATAATAAATTGCATTTACAACAATAATTGCTGTATAATATATAAAAATTAACAAATTGTTAGATAATTATTGATAGAACATTTTCTTTTCTTTTTAGAAATAATCAAAATACTGGTACTTATTTATGTTTTATTGCTCTCCAGCTTAATTTTAAATGTCATTTTGAAACTAAAAGTTTATTAATAAAAGCTTTTTTTACATAAAATGCTTTTTACATATGTAGATAGCTATTTGATTTTTA